ATTCGAGTATGAATATGGCATTAAATCTGTTTTTGAAAGTTGGTGCACAGGTAAAAAGTGAGGTTACGCGACGCCCCTATTAATTATGATAAAAACTTAGAGCACAGTCATGATTCTTAGAAGGTTCTTGAGAACATCTAGTCTACTCAGAAAAACAGTTTGGAAAAAAAAAAATCAAAATTCAAGAAAAATGTAGCAGTTACAGCAATCACCTGTTTGACCTAATAGCCCCTCCTACACTATCGCATTCAGCCTAATGACCTATTGGTTAAATGTGCACTAAATTTCTTCAATTTTCAGCAAAAAGTACAAAAAATAAACTAAATTTTTATATTACGAAAATAACACTTTGGTCTTGAGAGTAAGCCAACAAAGTTATCTGTTCCATGATGACACTAACAATTTCAAGATTTTCCCAGTCTTCCATATAAATATTTCTTAAGTTTACTGGAAGTGTACATTCATGTTTTCTGATAAAAAATAATCCAACTCTCTTCAAACATTATCTTATCCTACAACTTCATCGGGATCATTCCTCACTTCTCTTTTGTCTGTATGGTTTGAAGATCATTAACCCATAATACCTATAACGTAGACCCATGGAATCTATGAAGATGATCCATAATTGTTTTAGAAAGGAACCATAGGGTTACTGACAAATACCCATAAGCCCTGTGTGTGTCCAGATTTAGCCATTAAGGCATTCTAAATTGATACACAAAATCTCTACAATTAACGCATAGGGGATAAAAGGGAATAATTTCACATTCAAAGTAGTAACATGAGACCTCCGGAATAGACACAAAAGATCTCCATTAATCATATTGATGTAACATGATAGGTATAAGATCTTTGAAACTGATTCATAAGATTTGTGAAGTTATTCAATATGATCTCTGTCTATAATCTATCAGACTTTAAATTTAGTGCAGATTTTCTTCAACAACTTTACCCATGAAACCTCTGAAGTGGACCCATAGCATAGACACTGAACCTAATAAATGAACGGATAGTGACTGAAACTAAATAAATTGACTAAAGAATTAGTTCACAAGGCACTGGAGTATTGACCTCTATCCATGCGGCCTACGGAATTACATTTTTGTTAACTTATCTGAAGTGGATTCATTCTGACAGACAGACAGTCTTTGGATCATGGTGATCAGTAAATCCTGATTGTCAATTTCACGGTTTTTCTCGTTTTGTTCCCGGAATTTTAGAAATTTTCCCGGTTGTGCGGTATACATTTGAATTGAAAAGCTTAAAACCAAATTCGATTGAACCGAAGAGGTCACTAGGTTACATTAGTCATTACTAAGACAGCAGGATTTATCCTGGATCTTGAATTTGGTTCTGCGTTCGAAGTCTTCAAAATGTGTCTATGGAAATTCGCTTAAAATTTTACAGGATTTTATTTGATTATTCTCAAGCATATCATATACAATTATTGCCCTCGACAGAGTTTTTTCTTCAGAGTTCTTCTAAAATAAATTGGAGATTCTCTCCTGGAGTCCCTTGAAAATTTATTTTTAAACGTCCAGAAATTCTTGACAGAATACTCCAAAAAATTAATGAAATTCGGCCTTAGAGTTGCTTTGAATTTCAGACATTATCTAATAATAGACTGAAGATTCCATGTTTTTATTCACTTGAATTCTTTAATTCCCATGCAATTTATTTGAGAATTGTCTTAAATATTACTCAGAATTATCTTGGAGTTCTCCCTTGGAATTATCAAAAAAAAAAATATCTAGAAATTCTTCTCGAGCTGTCCTTGAAATTTTCCTCGGAATTGTCTTAAAACACTTCGCACAATTCTTTCGATGTTTTACTCTAAAAATTCGGATTCTTTGGTACTTTTCATTGATCCGGGAATTGGCTTCACAATCGCCATGGATTTTTTCACAGAGCTACTGAAAAAAAAACACTCTTAACTCAAACGACTGATTTGGAGTTCTAGTGAAAAGTACCTAGGACATTTTCTCTGAAATACCTTGGTGTTATCTCTAGAATACATTCTAAAATCTGCTCCAAACTCTCGTAATATTTCTTCAATGTTCTAAAATTCTAAAACATTTCTTCTAAGAGAGGACGAAGTAGTGTTTCCTACTCGGAACGCAGGGTGGCCAGTGAATTCTCATTTTGAAATTCCCGGTTTAAATCTTAAAAAATTCCCGGTTGTTAATATTCAACAAAAAAAACGAAATTGAACGCATTTTTAAGAACGTGCTGAAAGGAATTTACTGAAGGGATAAATGTGATTTAAGAAGATTCCCAAGATCGTGGGACTTTAAATTTGTGTAGAGTTTGAAACTAGAACTTTTTTTTTTTTAAATCTTCGTGATACAAGATTTGGAGAAACATAATTAAAATGTGAGATTTTGAAAAAAAAAAAAATCAAGATCACAGATTTGAAGAAGCATTTTAAGGGTTATAACAAATTACAGAACAATATATAGAATCTAGTGGCCAAACCCTGGAGTTTTTAGTACAATTTAAAAGAATTCAAAGTGTTGATTTCAAACAAATATAGAGAAGGATTCCCACACAGCTTTCAAATGAGAAGTTCTGAGCAGAATACCAGAATTATTCTGACATGAAACCCTTAGAAATTTTTAGATGTATTTGGAGGGATTTCTTTGGAGAAGAATGCATGCTCTAAATTGAATTGTTAGGTAACTTTAGAAGATTTCAAAAGGAAAATTCCTACGTGATATTGAGGAGATTTGTATGGGGATCGTGAGGAAAATGAAGGGGCCTCCCTTAGCGCAGTCGGTAAAGGCGCAGCTACAAAGCAAGACCATGCTGGAGGTGGCTGGGTTCGATTTCCGGTTCGGTCTAGGAATTTTTCGGGTTGGAAAATTTCTCGACTTCCCTGGGCATAGAGTATGATTGGACTTGCCACACAATCATATCAATGCAAAAATGGTACAGACATCGCAAGCTCTCAATTAATAACTGTGGAAGTGCATCTAGAACACTAAGTTGAGAGCACGCAATAAGCTAAATATGCGATATGCAATAAGCTTGAAATGCGAAGAAGAAGAAGAAGAAGAGGAAAATGACAGAAGAATTTTAAGAAGTATTCCACGAGAATTATGATCTGAATTCAACAAGAAACAGAGTTCTAAGAGTGTTCTGGCAATAATTTCAACCCTAGTGCGAAAGATTCATCACAGAACTCCAACAAAATTGATTGCAAAAAAATTGCTGATAATTAGAAAGAAATTCTTTAAAATACTCCCAAGGATTTCTAAATAAAAATTGCGAAAGAGTTTTGCTGTTTTGAATAGAGTTAAAAGATTTTCAAAGGAATCGAAATGTCCAGATAGGCTCAAGAGAATAGGTCTTTTTAATGCACTACCAATGTAGCGTGCGCCAAGCGAATTCGAGAGGAAACGTCAGCCAAACCAGTTGTTTACATCAGAATGAGGATTTTTCACAACGTAAATTAGAGCATTTTTCATTCAACATCTTGCCAATTTCCATCAGTAGTTTCCATATTTTACGATTTTTCACAGATCTGAACTGATTTGCACTTGAACTATTCATATACAAATCCAAAAATATTCCTGGACACTAGCAGGATCTTTGCAAAAACGATACAGAATTAAATTTTTAAACTGTAAATCAAGTTTTGGAGCATCTCACATGAATCAAGTTATCAGGAAAAGTAAAAGTGTTCCGCTTCCTATGTCTCATGACAAACATTTCTGCTCACAACACTCTTTTTAACGTCCTCCTATTTACCACCAGAGGTTGAATCGATCGTTTAGTTTCTATTAAAAAGGCGTATTTTAAGAAGGATTCCAATTAAATTATTAGAAGGAGTTGCAAGGAGAAGAATTCACTGGTCATTATTACGCGGGGTGTTTTCTGGCTTATTTCAGAACAATTTCAAGATAATTCAGAGCAGAATTCCAAGTTAATTCTGGAATTCATATCGTGAGAATTTAGAACGAAAAAATTAAACCGAGCAAAAGAATAATTCAGTTTCGGTTTCTACAAATGTTTGTTTTCAAAGTCCAGCATCTTCAATAGTTTCTATGAGAAAGTTTGAACATACTGAGAGGTAAGCACATATCACCGGTGGGAAAGTCGCTAAACCGTAAATTCAATATTTTCTTTTAAGGACCAAGCACTTTACATCTGAAATTGAAACGACAAATATTAATTTGCAATATTGCTGAGTGATTAAATTCTAAAAACAATAAGACGGAAAACTTAAGAAAAATTATGCAGCAAATAGAGCAAGACATTGGTTTATTCTGAAATTCTGTTGTTAAAATTTGTTCCTATGGTAGGGTTAATTTATTTTTCCCGATTCCCTCACCGAATTGTCGGGTTTTTCCCGGTTACTTTTCAAATTCCCGGATATTTCCCGGTATTCCCGGTTTGCTGGCCACCCTGTCTAGGGAAATCATTCCCGAGAAATTTGCCAAAAATCACGTTTCCCGATTCCAATTTCGCGGGATATATTAGAAGGATTTTTGGATGAAAATTACAAGAAATTTTTCAGAGGAGTCAAAACTTTGATGCAAATTTTCCATCATTTTTGCTTATTTCCCGGGTATTCCATTTTTTGATTTCTGATACTCGGGAAATTTGAAAACCCTAGCGCCAAACATATTACTCTCATAACTACTCAACACTATTGAGACATATATCTTTGTACCGACTTTCGATTAATTTTGTCGAATTTACTACATAGGATCCAACGAGCAGATCACCTCACTTGTTCAAATTATTTAGAGAAGTTAACATTAAATGCAATTGTCTACATAAGCCATTAGATGCTCGATAAAAAATTCCGCTGAAATATTGATGTCTGTTTGGCATTTGATAAGCGATTATCGATCATAACAAAACAAAAAAAACTCTACAGATATGTAATCTCAATAATAAAGAAAAACAAAACTCTACAAATATGATGTCACCGCAAAGTCCTGCTGCGGCGGAACTCCAAACCATCGAACCAAAAATCCCATGGCCCAACTTACCTGTGTCTCATGCGGCACCCAGACGAGCCTCTTCTGTGTCCACTCGGCCTGTGTAGCCGGATCGTTGAAGGAATTTCGCTCGACGGAGAGATACTTCAGCTCCGGGTCGTTGCGATCCCGCAAATCATCTGCCATCTTTTCTGATCTGTTGTGTGTTGGCGGTGACTTTTAATGGCGTTAGGTGTTGCTTGGGACAGCCGAGGGTTTCTTCTTACGCGATACCCCTTGACTTGACCGAGTAAAACGAAAACAACAACAACAACAACAAAAACTTAAAATTCGACAAGATGGGCTTGCTCTGACGCTGTTGTGCTGCTGTGTTTCTACGATTCTTCTCACTCACTTTGCAATTCGGGAAGCGGTGGGCTCTCCGGAGGAGTTTTAAACTTAAGAAACAAGTCACTGTAGGATGATTTCTTTTGGCTGTTTGCTCGCTTCTTCCTGACTGCTCCAAACAGACAGACAGACAGACAGGGCAAGGTACCTCTTCTTTCTTCTCTCTTTCTTTATCGGGGTTTCTCGCGCACTTGGTTTTTGTTATTCCACCAGAGCTCCGCTTCTTACTTCTTCTACTCTCGCTCGTTGTTCGTTGTGCCGTTTCTTCTTCTTCTTCTTCTTCTCTTCGCCGTCTTCTTTCGAAATGTAAAAAAAAAAAACACAAATGTATAACAATCACACTGACGACGGGATGGAAGGTTTTCCAAGAGCCGACGACGACAACGTACGGTTCTTGTAGGTATGTTTGCTCTTCGCTGTGTTTGTGTTGGTGTGTTTCTTAAGGATGTTTTGTTTGTTGATGAGTTTAATTTCTATTGTAAGATTCGTTTTATTGTAACAGAAAAGCAAATAAAATCTAAACAAGATGCACAGAAGGAAAAAAATAAACAATTAATACTTCGGCACTTGGTTGCATAAAAATACTGAAACTTAACAGACGATAGAATGTGCGTTTTTCGAATAATCACGTAACAATGTAACGAATAGAATGTTCGATAAATAACACAAATAACCACGATTAAAAACTATAGCTCGCATTCGGCAGTGGAAAGCCGGATCTTCCACCAAACAGAAAATTAATACACAGCTCAGCTCTGCTCTTCTCCGGAGTAGATCGATAGAGTCCTACACTTGGAATAGTACACACTTTTATAGGAGTGTCTCTGCTATGCGCAGCCGACTAACCAACCAACCGACAACTAATGTGTATAAGCTGCTGCCGCTGCCTATATCTTTCGTGTGGGCTTACTGCTTGGCTTGTGACTTGTGAGTATAGAGTGTGGTGTGAGAGGAGAGTGACTTCTGCTCGGTCACTTAGCACTTATTCAACTGAAATTTAAAATTTCCGACACGATACTTTTTCTTCTGCCCAACTGGCTCACGCATACGCTCAAAAAAGGGTGGGTATCGTGTCGGAGCGAGCGACCGACCACCGCCACCAAAGCGCCAACAGAAGAGACCCGCGATGATGACGATGATGACGACGACAACGACAGCGATATAGCGACAGTGGCGATGCCGACCGCAAGTTGTATTCACTCGGTTGCAGGGGCGTGCTTGGAAGGGGGCGAATTCGATTGTTTGTTTTTCTTTTTTTTATGATTAATTGTTAATAGTTAGATAAAATACAATCTTATTGGTTTTTATGAGTTTCAAAGATTATTCAAATTTCTGGCCTTTGAAAAAATTTCGGAGAACTTTGAGATTTGGGCGTAATTGATTGTGTAAACAAACATGTCAATCGTCGACTTTTCGCGAATCAAAGTTCAATCTCGAAAATTAACCACACAAACAGGTAGATGAATGATTTGACTATCGTTTGGGATAGTTTGTTCGCAAGATTGAGCGTTTATTTGCGAGAAATCGGCGTTTGACTTGCCTGTTTATAAAAGCAACCACGCCCAAATCCAGTGTCGTTTCCTTAACCTCAATCCACCTGTGCACCAATTCTCAAAACATAAACAATTATCAAAATATTACTTGCAATGGATAGATATCGAGTAAACTATAAGATTAAGTGTATTTTTCAACCGATTCGAGTATGAATATGGCATTAAATCTGTCCCCTCTTCAAAATACAGGGTGGCCAGTGAATTTTCATTTTGAAATTCCCGGTTTTTTCTCGGTTTTATCGGTTTAAATCTTAAAAAATTCCCGGTTGTAAATATTAATCAAAAAAACCAAATTGAACGCATTTTTAAGAACGCTCTGAAAGGAATTTAAGAAGATTCCCAAGATTCTGGGGCTTTAAAATTTGAGTAGTGTCTGAAACTAGAACTTTTTTTCAAAATTTGTGATAACTAACAATCTTTGTGATGCAAGATTTGGAGTAAAAATAATTAAAATGTGAGATTTTGGAAAAAAAATTCAAGATCACAGATATGAAAAATTAAATATATATAATACTTATGAGTCGTGGAGTCATAATTGTCACGCTCTGAGACTTGGAAGTATTTTAAGGGTTATAACAAATTACATAACAATCTATAGAATCTAGCGGACAAACCCTGGATTTTTTAGTAAATTTTAAAAGAATTCAAAGTTTTGATTTCAAACAAATATTGAGAAAGATTCCCACACAGTTTTCGAAGGAAAAGTTTTGAGCAGATTTCCAGAATTATTCTGACATGAAAACCCTAATAATTGTTAGATGAATTTGGAAGGATTTCTGTGGAGAAGAATGCAAATTCTAAATTAAATTGTTAGATAATTTTAGAAGATTTACAAAGGAGTTGTCAAAAACAAAACATTGCGGAAAATTCCTACGTGATTCTGATGAGATTTGTATGAATATCGTGAAGAAAATTAGAGATGAATTTTAAGAAGAATTCCAAGAGAATTATGATCAGAATTCAACAAGAAACAGAGTTCTTAGATTGTGCTGGCAATAATTTCAACCCTAGTGCGAAAGATTCATCACAGAACTCCAACAAAATTTATTGCAAAAAATTCTGAGAATTAGAAAGAAATTCTTTAAAATACTCCAAGGGGTTTCTAAATAAAATTTCGAAAGATTTCTGCTGTTTTGAATAAAGTTAAAAGAAATTTTTGAAAATATTTTCAAAGGAATCAAAGTCTCCGAATAGGCTTAAGGGAATTCTAAGAAGCATTCCAATTAAATTCTTAGACGGGGTTGCAAGGAAATTCCAAAAGGAATTCAACGGCAATTATTACGCGGAGTGTCTTCTGGTTTATTTGAGAACAATTTCAAGATAATTCAGAGCCGAATTCCAAGTTAATTCTGGATTTCATGTCATGAGAATTTTGAACAACGAAAAATTAAACCCCCGGAAAAGAATAATTCAATTTCGGTTTTTACAAATATTTGCTTTGAAAGTCCAGCATCTTCAATATTTTCTTTTAAGGACCATGCACTTTACATCTGAAATTAAGACGACAAAAATCAATTTTCAATATTGCTGAGTGATTAAATTTTAAAAACAATAACACGGGAAACTGAAAAAAAATATGCAGCAAATAGAGCAAGACATTCATTTGGTAAAGGATAACTCTGTTTCAATGATTTATTCTGAAATTCTGGTTTAAAAATTTATCCTATGGTATGGTTAATTTATTTTCCCGGTTCTCTCACCGAATTCCCGGGTTTTCCCGGTTACTTTTCAAATTCCCGGATATTTCCCGGTTTTCCCGGTTTGCTGGCCACCCTGAAAATAGGACTTCAATGGCATGGTAATGAATTCCACTGGATTCACTGATACAGTCCACATGTCATGCTGAAAAAGGTTTAGTGAAATTCACTTCAGTTTATGAAAATTTTCTCGTCGTATTTGTAATTCAAAAATGGCGATGGAAGAAAGGGCACATTCATCGTTGTTGAAAGAGTTGGAATTCCCAGGCTTCTTCATGTTTTCAAGCGTAAGTTTTATAATTTTTATAGATCAACACTCATTTATAAATTAAAAACAAAATTGCAGAATATGAGTAAATTTCAATTTTTCTAGAATGCAATCAGAAAAACTCAAATTAATCGAAATATATAGGGGAAATGGATGTAATGTCGGCCTAAATGCCCCTAATTTGGGCCCATACAAAAATTCAGCAATCGACTAAATTTTCAATAGCGACCAAAAATATCCATAAGTTCCATCCCAATGAGGCGTTCATCTAGATAAAATTGATAAAAATCAGATATCTAGCGATGGGCCCAATCTTAGATCCATAGGCCAACATAAGATCCATTTCCCCTATATCTATAGTCTATCACCAATTCACTTTATCATTACTAAAAAATCCAGTAACATCTGCTTATTAATTCCCGTAACTTTTAAGTGATGCCAATTTGAAGATTATCGGAAAATCCGATAAAATTTTCGTGAAAATCAATTGAATTCCATGTGAATCACTCAAATGTAATCTCTCCCCCAAAACACGTAAAATTTACCGGAGAAGTGTGGTAGAAAATGTGTACGTCTATTCAGATGAATTTTACGATTTTTTTTGTTGCAGTGTAGGTTTGGATAACTTTCAAGATCTCAATGTAAAACAGCCAGAAAATTGGGTCTAGAGCTTTTTTAGAAATCTCTGAAAATTTATGATAGGTCTATGACAATTTCAAGATAAAAATAAATAAAACATTAGATTTCGTGAAAAGTAAACGTTTACAACTCTTCTTGCCAGACTTTACTCTGAGTTTTTAAAGTCAAATTATTTACTCTCAAGATTGGTCGTAAAAAAGTGACTTTAGTGACTAAATTTTAAGAAATAGTGACTTTAGTGACTTTTTGAGGAAAAAAGTGACTTTTTAGTGACTGACTTGAAAATAGTGACCAAGTCACTAAAAAGTGACCTGCTACCAGCCCTGTAAGTTAAAATTAGTTGCAATGAAGCTTGTACGTTTTGTTAAATCAGCGAAAAATATGGCGATTCAGAAAGCAGAACTGTGTAGCTTGACGTCTGGGCGATCGAATTTCTTGATAGGATAAACTGACTTGATGTTGTTTTCACATTTTTCATGATCAAAGTCCGTAGTTTTATCAAATAATATGAAAGTAGATGGTAATTGATAGTGGATAACGTTGTGTTCGATCGTACCATCGGCACCGGGCTCTACTATATTTAAGTTTAGAATGAGAAAATAATAACAGCCCCCCCCGTGCCATGGTAACGATCTGTTCAGTGCGAATTGCAGTATGGTGCAGCCATCACTTTTCACACTATAGACGTGGATGTTTTTGTTTTGGTCATTTTTTGTTGTTATTGTTTTGATTGTAATTGGATGTGATGAAATACCTTATTGTGATGTTTGTATATTTAAACCAAAGAATATTGTGAAATATATAGTTCGTTTTGAGTCCCCGAGCAGGCAAGTTGCCTCTCGGGGCATAGTAACCGGTGTGTCAACCTGAGCCGAAAGAAGACCAAATTAAAAGACAACGTAGGGTAACATTATCCTGGACGAAACACGTTGTTATATTAAAATTGACGAAAATCCATATCGGACTGATATGCGATTATAGGCAGTATAATTCATAGTTGTTTGATTGATGTTTCTGAAGTTAGGATAAACAAACTCTTCTGGTTCTAATCTGACTAGTTTCATAGTTGTCTTCGGTAGAAGCTCCAGGTGCCTCCAACGCATTGACAACGAGACAGCTTATGTATCGTGGTTTCTAGATCTCCCGAACTTGTTTCACAATAGGGGTTATCTACTACAACTCAGTGAAACAGCAACTATCAATGCCTTATCTTCTTCTGCATTACCACACACCAGCATTCGCTGCGTGAATGTTAGAATTTTTTGTTGTGGAGGTGTTTGAAGTTGATTTTCCAATCGCGTTGTGCCGATACACATCCATGATCCGGTTTCAGCGTCAGAAAGTGAAGATAAAATCCTCGGGACGATGGTGTGTTGACCAATTGATTCGTTAGGTGAGACAGCTCTGTTTTCAGTAAAGTTATGTGTTTGAACATCGCTGGTATTGGATTGTTTTGATTCCCCAGGAGGCTGCTTAAGAATGGAAGTTGATACGCCAGGTTCATCATCCCAGCCAAGAAAAGTGATTTCAATTTTGTTGAATTAAATTTTCAAAAACTATTCTTTGCAAGGTTTGGCCAGCCAAATGAACTTTCCGACCTCCGCCTTTATTTTTGTGGCAAATCGACATTCCTTCGTGAGTGATATGTACATATTGCCAGTTCAGAGGAAGATTTGACAACCGAAATTGACAATCGTCACTGACAGCTGTTTTTGGGATTTTCGAAAACTGAACCAAAATCGTTCCTTGAAGACCGAGTTGGAGACCTTGTTCGCATGACAACACAAGGCAACATTTAAAACAACA